GAGAGGAGAAGAAAAGTCACACCAGTCGGTCAAATCTGCCACTGTAATAGAAAGAAATGGAGTTTACTTTCATTTTCTCAATCGCAGTGAAACAGGGGCTTCTGCTGTAAGTGTCAGTGAAAGACTGTCCAGCAAATGCACACGCAGTAAATTGTGCTCAGTTTCTGCATTTTTAAGTAGTTGGAGTGATGTAAATACTCGCACTCGCTTCCCACGCCATAGTAAGCTACAACGACAAAGCGCATATGACGTCAGTACATAATAACTGGTCATGATTATTACTGAACCGAAACCGAATTGTCTGTGTCTGCATAGCGGTGCACAGAAGAAACAATTAATTTTGACAGCCCTAGTAATTGGGTAAAAATAAATGCATATTAGAAGACAATGAAACTGTTTTTTGAACTTTCATGCGTATCAGAATGTTTTTAGAGACCCCCCAAACGAAAATATGACCCTTTTTAATGCATAATAGGGGCTCTTTAATCATTTGTTCGCCTGCTACCTAACTAGATTATCCAATTCCTTAGAGGAAAAGGTTGTTGGGCAACTTCCACATGTCAAGGGGCTTTGCTGTGGTACATATTTGTATCTATATCATATGATCTGAGCTGTTTTTCTTGCATCACTGATGTCAGACTCGGATTACAAGAAATACCAAATGTCAGGCTGTCATTCTTGCAATGCTGTTCAAAACAATGTTGCATTAAACAAATACTGTGGCCACCTTTCCCATAACTTTGTAAGTTTGCTTGCAAAGCTGCATATTTATTTATCCCTTGTGAAGTGTTAACGTTGTACACTGGAAAGCACTATAACACCGTTGTCCATCTGAGCCACTCTCATAAAAGATAGATGGCTGTTATGTAAATGCACAGGGTTTTTGGCATCGGAAATAGGGGTATTGTTTGTTTTTGCTAAGTATTGTTTATTGTCTCGGCTGCAATGCTGTGGGCGGCCTTAAGATGGTTCTCATCTGTGGCCAAAAGGGTGGAAAAACACCTTAAGTTAATACTGACATCAGCATGAGTAGCTAAATAATGTAGGGAGTGTGTTGAGCTCACGTGGATGTTGGCTATGCTCAGGCTACATCTGTGTAGGTGTAAGGCTGCAATCCTCTTACCTTTTTATAGGAAAGATTAATTGGATTTTCAATATGTCAATATCTGCACAGCTGCATCCAAACCAACAACAAAAGCTTAGAGGTCCTAAATTAAATAAGTGTTTACTTGGGTCCTGTTTTTTTCCTCACTCGTTCTTGTATGTCTTAATGTAACCTTGACTTTGGTTTACACAAGTAATCAGGTATTGAGGTTGCATCAGAAAGCGTAGCCGTGTACTCGCACTCACAATAGAGCCCTTATGTTGGTCTTGTCTGCCGAGGAATGTCGTTCCCAGGCTGTTTTGCATTCCTGCCTTGCGTATTATGGGATTGTTGCTCCGTCACTGCACTACGATGACCTCAGAGACGGCTGTGTGAATTACAATGAAGGCATGTAGGGGCTATAAAGAAAGATGCATGCATTGGCAGCCAGTTCTTCCAGTTTTCAGTGACACATGATCTTTAAAATATCCTGCTTTGGTTCTCAAGAAACTGTTCTTACTATCGATGTTGAGAACAGTTTTGATGTCATTTGTTCGAACTGTGATGCAGTTTTATTCAAAAGTTGGAAAACCTATGAGTACAAATTGTAGTCAAAACTAGGGGATGGAATCACCACAGTCCCTATGCTACGATACCGTCACGTCACATTTCATAATACAAAACTATTGTAAAACTATTGTGTTTTATATAAATTGTGATATAATGTAAGTTTATTTCCTTCTTCCAACTTCAAATTATGTTCCCAAAGGATAACTTTGGCAATATCTGTTTTAACTAAACACTTACTTCAATTCCACGTTTCTTACTTCAATTTTATTGCTGCAGTGCAAACTAGGATCGTCAAGCAGACAAACTGACCAACACTTTGATGAAAAACTGTCATAAATGCTGTGTTTCGCAATGAAGATGACCCAGCTCACCAGAAAAACAAAAGCCACAAAAAACAACATAAACACAACACAAGCTTCCAGTGGAATGTAAGGAGATTAGGTTTATCATTTAACTAAATTGTAGGAATGGACCAAAATGAAAAAGTTGGGATGGGTCAAAATGAAAATTGAGTAACAAAACCGAAAATTCAGGATGCACTTATATAATAATGTCGCTTCATTAAATATGAAGTGGGCGGCATGGTGACTCAGTGGTTAGCACTGAAGCCTCACAGCAAGAAGATCGCTGATTCGAGCCCTCGCTTTGTCAGTTGGCGTTTCTGTATGGAGTTTGCATGTCCTCCCGGTGTTCACATGGGTTTCCTCTGGGTCCTCCAGTTTCCCCCACAGTCCAAAGACACGTGCTATAGGTGAATAGAATAAGCAAGTTTGGAGTGTATGGGTGTTTCTCAGTGCTGGGTTGCAATTGAAAGGGCATCCACTGCATAAAACATATGCTGATTGGGTTAGCAGTTCATTCCGTTGTGGCGACCCCTGATTAATATAATAAATGAATAAATGAATAAATATGAAGTAATTTGGTGGGGCTTTTTATATTTAACTCAATAACTTACTGATAACTTACAATTTACTAATTAAAAACAAACAAACTCAATATAAAATTCAATAAATACAAAAATTAAATAAAACAACCACATTTTATTGTCAGTGAATGAGTCCAGAGGTATCACTATACCAGCATTGCCATGACAGCACATTAGCGCTACTGTAAACAGCAGGTTTAAGTATAGTACATAGAAGTGTCCTGTTAGCACGTTATTTGAGCCAAATTTTCAGATGATTGTGCATATAATTATGTGTAAATGAGCGGAATATATTTAGAACTATGACCACTGAGCACACACACACTCATTTACTAAATATAGTGTGTCACAGAGCAAATAGCAAACAAAAGAATTAAACCATCAACCACATAATCTAGATATAACATCTTATAATATCTAGACACCACAAATCTTAACAAATATGGAATGCGGCAATAAATAGCAAAAAAAAAAAAAGTATCCTTTATACATAATATAGCACCTCAACACACAAATCTTGTTTATACTCTAACAAAGATGTGAAAACTTACTTTTTGGCCGTGACACACTCAATATAACTGCAAAAACTCTCTGAATGAGGTAAACACTCGCAACAGCACCTCCACTTCCCACAGTCTCTTCACATTTATGAATGATACTCATTGCCATTACAATTTGTACCATGTTTTACACATACATGATTGGTCTGTTACCAGTTCTTACGTGAATAGGATAATAAAATATTGGCTAAATATTGAAACTGGCATCTGTGTAACAACACAATATTGCTGTAGACAATGTCACAATGTTAAGCTGTACCAATATATTCATCTAATTCCAAATGTTAAAAAATAAGTTGGAGTAGTGATGCTGAAATTTCAGCTGTCATCTCAGAAATCCATTTTGTTCTGTTGTTTTGGCAGTTAAATACCAAATCTAAGGACTGAACCTGTATCTCACATACTCATGACTAGGGTTGCATGGTTTTAAAGGTACTACTGTAGTATCGTGATACTATAGCTCTAAAATACTGGCGATGCCACTAGTTTGTAAACAATAGTATTGTTATAAACGTTCTATCAACAATACAGTACATAATGTTGCATGTGGAAAAGTCACTAAAATGCTCACACCTTTTATGGTAGCCTATTGCACATTTTCTAACACTTCACTTCATCTGAGTCAGTTCACTTCTGTTCCTGTCAATGTGGTTTAGTTGCTACAACAACCACAACAATCTGAGAGCGACTCACTGGGTGAAATTTTGAATAAACTTTCTTACCTGATTAGATAAAAAACATAAAAATAGATGAAAAACCCAATATAGCTACAGGAAACTTTTTTGTGTAACGAATTTCGTTTGGTATAATTTGAGTCTTTATTTTAATGTGTTTTTTGCTGGTCAGTTAAAATAAAAAAGGAATGAATACATTTTAGGTGACGTGACGTGCAAATAATAATTTTTTCAATAATAAGGGAATTATGAATTAAATTCAAGTAGGCCTATTATAACATTTTAAAATAGTATTTCTGACAATTTTTATTATTTCATAGATTTGAGTTATGAATTACAGTATCGCAATACTACTTGGTATCACGATACTTTAGCTGGTATAGTATGGTAACATGAATGAATGGTATCGTGACAACCCTACTCATGACCAAGTTGCAATGATAAATATACAAGTTAAATTTACAATAATGGCGAGGCAGTGGCGCAGTAGGTAGTGCTGTTCGAACCTTGGCTCAGTTTGCGTTTCTGTGTGGAGTTTGCATGTTCTCCCTGTCTTTGCGTGGGTTTCCTTCGGGTGCTCCGGTTTCCCCCACAGTCCAAAGATACAGGTGAATTGGGTAGGCTAAATTGTCCGTAATGTATGAATGTGTGTGTGGATGTTTCCCAGAGATGGGCTGCGGCTGGAAGGGCATCCGCTGAGTAAAAACTTGCTGGATAAGTTGGCGGTTCATTCCGCTGTGGCGACCCCGGATTAATAAAGGGACTAAGCCGACAGGAAAATGAATGAATGAATGAATGAATTTACAATAATTGTATTGTTTTCAAATCTTCCCTTTGAAACTTGTTTTTGCTGTGTGAATGTATGACCAAAGCAAAAAGGCTTTCCCTTTTTAATTGAAAATTATGTATTTGAAGCACCTTGCTAATCATAAGAGAAGTCTTCTGAAGACATAAACAAAAAAATTCAAACTTTTTAGCTTGTGTAAATGTGTGTGTGTGTGTGTGTGTTTGCTGTCCTTTAGTCCTGTCAGAGACAAATTAGGACAGATTAGTATTTACTTTACTAATGCAATGTGGTGACCTGCATTTAGTGCCATCGGCTTGTGATCTGATCACGGATCTTAATGCTCAGGTGTGCTGAGTTCATGCCTTCATCTGTACTCATAATTTCTGTGTGTTTATTTCAGTAAGGCCAAGGAGTGACAGACCTTTAGCATTCAGAGGACGAGAGGAAGCAGACAAGCCAGCACTGACGACAGAGGACACCCTGCTACACTCTGGAGTTCTTATTCTGGGCTGACTGGCAAACACGGGTGAGGACCCCCATGTAGCTTCACCCCTCTGTGTGTGTGTTTGTGCCTTTGTGTTTTCCTCCTTTGCATCTCAGGCCTTGGGACCTCCCGCCCACAGACAAAGCTGTTGTCATAGCAGCGCTTTAGGCAGTCGTGCGGCACAGTAATCTCCTATTGGAGGAGGGGAAACGGAGGGATGGCATGGCAGAAGTGAGGGGAGCAGTGCATTAGTGAGGAGTGAAGTTAGACTTACTGACGGATGGTGTTAGAGATAAGAGAGGTTCTGTATCAGAGAGAAGGCTCCGCTGAGGTCAGACTGGAAGGCAGAGAGAATAAAAGAGTTTCCAAGAAGCTCCAGTGGTTTCATCTAGGCAATCACTTGTGCCGTAACAACTTTTGTGATAAGCACTGCTCTACTTCCTGACTCCAACAAGATGGGAGCTAAGATGATGCAATTGGGCAGACAGGACTTTTTTGCGGTTTTTAAATTGCTCTTGAAATAAGAATAGCTTTTTTATTTCTTAGAACTTCAAGGGAGAGTTGAGACAGATATTAGCACTGTGTTATCATTTATTAGGTTTGTCAAAGCTAGATGGCCTGCTATGTTCTTTAGAATAGACAAGAGGAATTATGAAGTGTTGTTTTAGTCATGTTCAAAAAAGGGCAAACATGCAGAGCAGGGCTGCTACAGGTCATCAAATCGATTAAAGCAGTTAAAATCGATTAGTAAAACCTTTGGCAATGAATTTCAGATTCTATTTGTCATGTCATGCGATGCGGATACGTTTGATTAATAAAACAACTTTAGTTGAAAGCATCTGCCTCTGTTGCGCACTGATTACAACATAATTCGTCACCCCATAGACAGGATGAAGCAAAAAAAGATCGGTATTAATGCGTCCTGGAGTAAAGTGAAACGGCAATAAACACCAGCAAGATAACGTTAAAGTCTTTGTATGCAGAATTGCAGACCTTTATCTATAAATTAAGTATAATTATGGAAACTGCGTTTATCTTAACTGAAAGCTACGTCCTGTTTGCTGGCCTCACGCATCGTGCACCTGTAAGTAAGTAAGTCAGTCAGGCCGTCAGCACGTCACCTTATAAAGTGTTAAAGAAATAGCGCACAGCCCTACTACGGTAACATAAAAGTTTGTGCTGTTATAATTCACGTACCTTTTATTTTTTTTGGTGCGATTATTACCTGCTATTTAAAACAACAAAAACAACAATGAATGAATGTTTTGAATTAATAGGAAGCTGTAATGTAGCCGTGGCGGGATGAATTTTAGTGTGGTGCCTCACTATGGAAGAATGAATGTAGATGAAACTATGTGTCATAGCAGTAGTAGCCGGTTTCTTGATTGGTGTAAAGAATAACTGGATGTTTAAATTAATTTAACATCACAAAAGTTTTTGATATTGCTAAAGGTGTCTGCAACTTTTGTGATACATTAAATCACCATCATATTAGCTGTCAAAACATGTTCATGACTGCATAAATGTATTATTCCTTAAAAAAAAAAAGTCACATATTGTGCATGTCTATTATCATACACAAATTGTAATAAAGCGATTGTACATGTTTGTATCTAAAACTTTTTTATCAATACATTTTTGACAGTCTTTGTTAGGGCTGTAATGATACACCAAACCCGTGATTCGGTTCGTATCACGATTTTTGACCCACGATTCAGTTCGTATCACAATTTTTTTTTTTTTCGTGTGGGGTGGGAAAAAAAAACGATTTTTAAAACTATTTTTTTTTTAAATAACATTTGAAAAATGTTAAACTAAAAAAAAAAAAACCTATAAACTAAACATCAAAGAACAATATTAACTATGCAAATTATTAACAATATAAACAGCCATATATAAAATAAATAAATAGCCAAAGCTATATCACTTTTGTTTTCTTTGTAACAAAATACTGTTAAAAAACCAAACAGAACTAAACTCCATTGTGTAGATGGTTCAAGCATGTTGAAAATTCTTTTTCAATCAAGTTCTCTTACATAGAAAAAGTAAATTAAATAGCTACGAGGGATGCTCATTTCGTTAATTTTACTAACCGACAAACGCTGCTCATTAATCGATTATTAACGGTTAACTGGTCATTACTATTAATTATATATTAAAACAAATTGACGTGCCTATTTTGTGTCTGACACATTAAATATTGCATTTTAAAATACTGATTTATTTTTATATGTTAGCATATTAATAGCGGAACAGAACAACAGAGCATCTTCACACACCTGCAGTGTTTAGCACAGTAGAGCAGAATAATCTAAATAAAATGAATAAAATAAATAGGACTGCCCTAAATTATTTTCACTTAAATAAATTATTTATATTACAAAACGAAAATACTGACTGATTCTTTTTAATAACCGGCATAGGCTTTTTTTCCAATCATATGTTTTTTTCTTCCGTCAAATAAAAATCGCAGACTTTCTCAAATTGCTTGCTCCACGGAAAATATGCATTTATTTAATGCCCCGCTGTTATTATTATAATCACAAAACCTTTTACATTTTTAATAGAAATCATTATTTTAAAGAATATGTCCTGATGTATGGTTTCCTCTCTCTCGCTCGCGGTTCAAGTGCGCGCGCTGCATGATGAAAAGACAACAACAACGCGCGCATATGTAGACTTTTTGTAAACAGTTTTGTTGTTTAAATATGATATTGCATTAATGTGCATACATGCTTTATAAGCTATAAAATAAAAAGTAAAGCCTATTTGTTGCGTTTATTACGCAGATCCAGGTCAACATAAGTGCTGGTTTAGCATCAACAGGTCTGTATCAAACAGCAATATTCTTTTTCCATTTTGTTTCTTTGGCAAATGTGTCTGTAGGCACGGGTTATACGTTATCGTCCCGCAAATTAAGTATGCCTTGCAGTTAAACAAGGGGCCGAAAACAAGGCGCACCTCACTGCCCTCATGTTGACAAGGAAAAAAGAAGAGGCGCGGTCCTCTTATGAAACGACTGAATCAGCTAGATATCGATTGTGCAAAAGTGTTGCTGTCTGTGTTACAATTGTAATATTTAATACTATTGTGATATTCAAGATTTGTACTTTCATACAGCTCTGGATAACTTAAAACAGCAATTAGACCTTCAGAGCGGCATTAATGCGTCCTGAAGTAAAGCGAAACGGCTATAAACTCCAGCAAGATAGAGTGATTATATGCAGAGCCATATACCTTTATCTATAAATAAAGTATAACTATAGAAACTGTGTTCATCTTAACTGAAAGCTTCGTTGTATTTTCTGACCTCACGCATCGCGCACCTGTCAGTCAGCACTCCCAAAGGTTCAAACAGAAAGCGCACAGCACGGTTACAGAAAAGTTTGCGCTGTTACCTATCTTTTGGCTACTGTTTCACACTGAGGCTTAATGCCTGTGCTGCAAACCACAAATCAAGTAAACATTAAACAAATAAACAACTTATTTCTCTCAAGAATGCCAAACTCGTTTGATTTAAGGGAGTTGAAAACTCTTTAGAAACACCATCATGTCAACATTACAGTGAAAAAACGTGACTACTTTCCTTACTCTGCAGTGGAGTCGGGACATCTGGTGAACGCCCATCCCTCTCTGCGCAGCCACATTAACAGTGTGAGCAAATCATCGTATATGCGGTGAAAATCCAGCCGCTTTGACAGCATTGGCAATGTTTCTGGTGTTGTCTGGTGTCAAGTGGGGTTAAGTTGGTTTTGTTTTTGATATTCCTGACACATTCAGATGGTCCCTTACTAAGAGCTCCGTGCGAGCTCTCCCGGCTAAATATTGCGAGGGCGTAAACGGAGCAGTGCTCGTAATGTCGAACTCAAAAAAGTGTTAATTAGTTCAACTTTTGCAGGCACGCGTGACGTTATTGGAAAGGTAGTCACGGGGTGTGTCGCGATTCTCCCTTATCACACCGCGACACAGGATCGTAGATCTGAGTGTCGCGATTTCGATTTCATATCCTGTATCGTTACAGCCGTAGGCTCCTAGTACTTTTATTTCGGAGTGCAATTGCATAAGTTTTAATATTATATATTTTTTATTAGTTAAAAATATATATTTACTATTTTTTGTTATATGAAACTACTAAGTGTATATAACTTAAGTGTATATAATTAAGTGTATATAATTACTACTGTAAAAAAAAAAAAAATCTGAATTCTGTGCATACTTTCAGTATTATGCTTGAAAATACCTATATATTCCTGTTTATATTAAATGAGCCTGCTCCCTAGCAGGTTTGAGCTACCAGAACTGTTGCTATGACAACAGCTCTCAGATGAGTTTTAAAAAACGAAACAATCCTGAATCATGTCATTTCAACAATAACCAAATCCAGCTAACTGAGTAATCCACTTACGAAGAACAGACCCCTAGTCATCCAAGGTATGGGAGCATTTCTCACTAAATAATCAAAAGCAGCGTGACATGAAAAATTCAAACTGAGCCTTGGTGCATTGGATGGTACTGAGCCAGAAAATATCACAACTATGCAGTGGTTTTAACCATGCAAATACACACAAGTACTAGTGAAACAACACATTTAGAGTTTGTAAAACACACAAGACAGTCTATGGAAGTCTAACAATCCATTCAAAAATAATTTGCTGGTGTGTATTATTCATATCAGTTACACCTAATGAGAGTAATAATAAAGTTTAATCTATTTACCCAGCTGGCCAGCAAGTGCTTGCATGCATTTTGGGAGTAACTGATGAAATTCCGTGCTGAATGCTGCGTGTTCTACTTTTATGAATGAGGATACTACCGGACAAAAGTAAACATGGCGATGCCCATCTTACATTATAGATCAAAATCATTTATCTGTCTTTTAAATAACAAAAAAAAACTCACACGTTTATGTGAATTGGAATTTCAGGTAGTTGATAGGATAAGCAACGTGTGAATATTTCGTATAAAAACAGAAAAGCATAATAAAAGAAATACATCTGTCAAACCGCGCTATTGTGGCTGGTGTGTCACGTGACAAACATGACGCGTCACCACGGAAACATTAACTGTGAACGTCCTAAAATAATGATCACCTAACAAAACTCACTCCCTAAGCCAGATAGAATCTTTTAAACTCAGCAGTGAAAGGGTTAATAACAGAAGTAAAGCAGCGGTGGTCTAGTTTCTTTGCATTGCAAGACTAAAGACACGTTTTAATTCACTCTCCTTTTTTTTGGATCTTTCATTTTTCTATCTGTTGTCATGTATAGCTACACTGCAAAAAAAAAAAAGCTTTTCTTACTTAGGCATTTTGTCTCGCTTCCAGTCCAAATATCTAAAAAAAAAACATAAATCAAGATTAGAAAAGAAAAATGGCATGAGAAAATTAATTGATGCTTAAACTGTTTGAGATTATATCTCATCAAGATTGTTTTCCTTACCCCATTGGTGAATAATTTAGCTTGTTTTAAGCAAACAATCACTTAATTTTGAGAATTTTTTGTTTGTTTTTTTCAGAAAATCTGTCTAGTATGCATCGTGATTCAAGATTTTTTTAGGTATTTGGATTGAAAACAGGACAAAACTTCTAAGTTAGTTTGTTATTATTATTATTATTATTATTATTATTATTATTATTATTACACTTTCTAAAGATGTTAACAAATAAAGTTTAGAAAAGTGTTTATCAAATGCTGTTGTTTAGTTTAATGTTTCAGGCTGTTTTTGTAAACAATGCAAATGTAAAATGTCTGTGAAATTATGTTGTCATTGAGTTCAAGTGCACGCACACATCAATGTAATTTATAAAAAGTGACAGAATAGACCTCATTACTGTCAAAGAGAAAGCAACATCTTAGTTTTTATTTTTTAAGGTTTAGTTAGTAAATTACCACAGTATATATCTAGTTTGCTGGAGTACTGCTCAAATACTTATAATACCAGATCAGCAGATTCACTCTTAATTAGGATGCCATTTTTTACAGAGTTAGGTTGATTTGTATTCTCTAAGTATGCTCCATATGTATGGAATGAGCTTCAAGACATGCTACGTATAAAATCTGTACCATCTATCGCTATATTAAAGATATTATAAAGACTGTCAATTTAAAACAGTGCACCCGGTTGTGATATGTATTTTTTATAACTCTGTCCAATTTTGCTCGTCTTGACCAGGACTCCTTGGTAGAAGAGATATCATATTTCAATAAGACATCCTTGGTTAAATAAATAAATAAATAAATAAATAAATAAATAAATACATTCAGCATAACAGAAATAATTCTGCAATAAAATAGAGACTTATTCTGAGCTGTACTTATTTAAATGTATAAAAGAATAAGGGCCTACTCTGAGTTGAATTATTCTACTTTTATTAAAAACGTATAGCTGACATCTGTATTAAAAGTCTTATGTAGTAATAAAAAAAATAAATGTATTAGCTAAATAGAATCACCAAAATAACCATTAGTACCTAGGGACTGTAGTCTTTTAATATCAGATACATCATTAAATGAGCCTGACTAAATTAATTAATTAATTAATTTATTCATTCATTTTCTTTTGGCTTAGTCCCTTTGTTCATTTGTGGTCACCACAGCAGAATGAACCGCCAACTTATCAGTCATATGTTTTATACAGCAGATGCCCTTCCAGCTGCTGCCCAGCACTGGGAAACACTAATACACTCTCACATTTCCATACACACACTCATACTACAGCCAATTTAGCTTATTCAATTCACCTACATGTCTTTGGACTGTGGGGGAAACTAAAGCACCTGGAGGAAACTCATGCGAACACCGGAAGAACATGCAAACTCCACACAGAATTGCCAATAGGTCCAGCCGGAACTTGAACTAGAGACCTTCTTCCTGTGAGTCGACCGCCACCCCTATTTATTTATTCATTCATTCTTGCCATTTATATAGCCATTAGTTGCTAATGTGGCATCAAACAAACAGAAAGTCATGAAAAATCTGTGAAAATCATTGATTATTGATCACACTTGCAACAGTGTACACATGATCACTTCATTTTCTAGTTTTCACACTCTTACAGTAAAAAGGTCAAATTTATGTTATTTATGACACTTTGCATGTTCACAGTGTGTGTTCACAGTAGAAGTTTGAGAAGTGAGGAATGAGGAAAGTGGATCGGAGGAGGGGTAGATAGACGGACAAAAGGTTATCCATTATCCTCACTCTGTGGTCACATGTCTTGTTTTTATCCTATGGGCTGGGTTTTCCTGGAAGGGGGCACCTACTTTGTGTTGTATCACTGTCTCATGCATAATTCAGTAGTAGCCCACTGGCATCTCAAGTCAACAGCAACCACTTCAGTCCTAAATCCTTCCTCCATGAATGCTCTCATTACAAGAGCTTCTTCTCTCATACGCTGGCCTCATCATCTGACTCACTGAGCGCCAGAGCCGTGACTCAGGGCTGTTTGTTACCATCCAAGATGTAAGAAAAGGCTTGAGGGGTCAAGGGTCAGGGCCGCTCGCATCTGCAAGGTCTTGTTGGGGGGTGAGAAAGCAAGATGGGGTTTTCAGAAAGTGTCAGCATTCAGAAAAAGGGATGATAAAGGGTTAGATAACACGGTGATCTGTCCTGTCTCAGACAGCTGACACAGCGCTCACAAACACGAGGCCGCTGCTCTGGTGAAAAGGACTGCGTGGTTGTTTATCTCTCAAGATCTTTGGCGTGTTTGTTTTGTTTTCATATTGTGCAGTTTTTGACAGAGCTCTTTAAATAGCTGTTTGCTCATACAGGACTGTGTGCCATAAACAGCATTGTAATTAATCAGATGTGCTGAGTGAGGGTTCACGAGTAAAACTATGCAGTGCTGTTGCTTTGTTTGAGTTGGTAAGGTCAAGATTAGTGTATACTTCACCTTTATAGGGTCACATCTTTAAAACAAGTTCCTTAAAATATAGTACTCCCGATTCCTCATTGTCATGATGACATGAGTTGTTTTGGTCATAGGACATTTTTAAGTTTGGTCTGGATTTTTTTCTCAAACTCATCCTCTACTTTCTGCCAAACCTTTTCTGTCCTGTTCACCTTATTTTTGACATAAAAGCAGGCATGCCCATTGTAACCTAAAGGGATATTTCACCCAAAAACTAAAATTTACTCACCAGCAAGTGGTTTCATACCTTTGAGTTTTCATTTTCTGTTGGACGACTGGGATGATAAAGTCTTTTTCTATGCGGTGCATCTGCACAAATTATAATAATTTACTAGCATAAATAAAAAAAACAAACAAACAGTGTTTCATGCTTTTCCAAGTAGTCTAACAGTATGTACAGAAATTGAACATTCAAATGTAACATATCATGGTCATCGTTGTAAAATAATAAAAAAAAAAATATTAATGAATAATATCATTATCGTTAAATCTTACTAAATAATCAAATCCTGGGATGGGACCATTGCAGATACAAACATTGCAATTTCAACGTCAATGTTTAGGTTCACAACATTTTTCAAAATAGCTTATTTTGTGCTCAACAGAAACTCAAACAGGTTTGAGAAAAGTGAAGTGTGAGTAAATGATGACTGAATTTTCAGTTTTAGGTGAACTACCTTTTAAATGTGTAGAGATTTTTAGTCTCATTCACTAATTATTTTTAGCCATACAAAACAGAGCAAATTGTTACTCTGATATTGAAGACTGGTATTTTCTTATATTATTTTTCATTAAAACGTGTTCGTATTATCAGAGTGGTTTGTAGAGCAAGTAGTTAGACCATTATTTATTGCCATTTGTTTCTGCTAGTCTACTCTGGTTGAAAGTCTAAAGGGTCGTTCACACAGAACACGTCTTTGCATCTAAAAACATTAAATGCAGCGTTTAGGAATTGGTAAAAAAACCTTCTCTGCCCTGTAAACACCAAATAAAACAGTTGTAATCTAACTTACTACTGTAATCAGAAGCTGCAAAAGACAAAAGACTCGAACAGAGTGGTTTATATGTCTGTCAAATGCATTTAGGAAGAAAAACATCGGAGAAGTCTGCTCTTTGTGAATGGTCCCTATTCACACAAAAGAGCTTGTGCATTGCAAAATAAGATTGGATTAAGATGGATAAGATGGATTAAGTTAAAGTGTCTCAAATACTAAGAAAAAAAAAGAAAAAAGCATAATTTCTACGTTTTATGAAAGTAATGAGTAGTGCTTGCAGGACGGGACTTGATGCCATGTTGATAATTTGATGCTAATTGTGTGTAATTAGCAGGGTATTGTAATGCAGTTGCTAAGCAGTTCAGTAAAAGTAATTTATAGCATGATGTTCTGTGTGTGGAGAGGGTTTGAAGTGTGTTGGGTGTTTTTTAGCCCAAATCTGAGGAGTGCAGTGGAAGTTTGTGCAGTAAATGTTTATTTCTGTTTCATCTTATGCCTAGAGAAAATCATAATTATGGTCTCCTAATAACACATCTCTTCCTAACCCTCCTCCCATTAAAATGTATGTGTGTAGCATAAAGATTGCTGAAAGAAATTGTTGCAATTAAGAGCAGGGTTACACAGGTGGTATAATAATAGCTACAGGTTGTGAATGAAAATAGTTATTGATTGTTACTATCTACAATGCTCTCCGGTGTTAAACACTCCTCTAAGCACACTTTCTTTTTCCTCCAGGTGTGGCTCAGTGTCTGGAGCCGCTGCTGACCTCAGCCCTGCTGTCATGGCCTCAGCCCTCACACCATGCAGAAAGCACCCCTCCTAACCCTCATACCTCACACACACTTGCACCACACACCACCACACATGCGCGCAGCCATGATGACCACCTCCCACATGAACGGATATGTGACCGAGTCAGATGGCGGGGGAGGTACTGACATCGTGGAAGAGGGGGTGCAGAGGCACAGGGAGATGGCGGTGGACTGCCCAAGTGAGCTGGGTGCCCGCACCCTGCCCGTCAGACGCAGCGCTCAGCTGGAAAAGATCCGCCAGCAGCAGGAGGACCGCAGAAGACGAGAGGAGGAGGGCCGCAGCCGGCAGGAGCTTGACCTCAACTCGTCCATGCGCCTCAAGAAACTCTCCCAGAACCCAAAAGTGGGCATCGATAACCCCACCTTTGAGCAAATGGAAGGTCCTGGTGGCTCCGCAGGTGGTCTTCAGAGCCTCATCGCACCACCAGCTTTACTAGGTGGGTGTCATAAACTGCTAACAAGCACTGTTTGCAAAGATTGCCACTATAAACCCGCCCCTGACATGTGCAGAGCAAGCAGCTGTATTGTTTGCAGGTGTCAGAGGCATGTCCTTGCGTTTACTGCATCAAGCCTGCACATTGAGTCTGTTGTTGGCGGTGTAAGTTATGGCTGTTGCATTTTGGACATTTATCTTGTGGTAAATTTAGTTGGTTCCAAAGTGTGGTATGCAGTATTGCCACCCAAAAACTCAGCATACAACAATTGCACTATATACAGCTCTGGTGTTGAGTTATGCATCGCATATTTTAAATAACAGTGGGACAAGTTATAAAGCATTTTTATTTCTGTTTTATTTACTTTTATTTATTATTAGCCGAACATCTGAACACAGCAATTGAACAGAGATTAAATAACATATTATTTGATTAGCCTCTTGAAATAAACATTAGGTTATATTTTCATTTACAACTTGCTTGAAATATGTTTGTTTACTACTAAAAAAGATAAATAAATAATATAAAACTAGGCCTAAATATATTAATTTATTCTATATATGGCATATCCTGTTCTTCACTGGCAATGTAGCCATTAGTTATAATTATAATACTGCTTTCAGTCCCCATTTTAATTTGTCATTTATCCTGTCAGCTCTATTTCACTGATAAATGGATTAATATAAGTGATTTTATTTTATTATAAAAAAAAACTATGTTAATTAAATGTCAGTATTCAGTTTAAATTAGCAATCTTGACCTAAAACTGAAAATAGATAAATTAATACATATAAAATAAATGTAATGGCTAAAAATATAAATAAGCATTATAAAAGCACATTTATTTAAACCAATTTGGAATTGCTTAAAGTGTTAAATCACTGTCTCTGGTTCTATTAGTTAATAAAAATGTTTTAGTTAATTTTAGCTCAAATCTATTAAAAATAACAGCTACAACTTTTGATTAATTATGACCTTTTGAATATTAATTATAACTCAAATAAAATCTATTCTTTTTGAGCATCTTTAAAGTGATAGTTCGCCCAAAAATAAAATTGACTCGCCCTCAGGTGTTTCTAAAACTTTGAGCTTATTTTTTTTTTCTGTTGAACACAAATGAAAATATTGTGTTGAATGTAAGAAACTGGTAATCATTGACTTCCATAGTAGAAAAAAATATGATGCAATGGTTACCAGCATTTAAACTTTTGTGTTCAACAGGGAAAAAAAAGAAACTCAAACAGTTTCAAGACATGTGAAGTGTGAGTTATTGATGACAGTTTTCAGTTGTGGGTGAAGTATTTTTTTAATTAAGGTTAACTAAACCACGTAAGGTTAACAAATGGGACCATTTTTCTTTTATCTAGCTTATTATTGCAATATTATACTGTATAATAATAATAATAATAATAATAATGTATAAATAATACTCCTATTAGTCTCCACCATATCCAATGACATTTGAACTACCAAGTAGAGATCTGCGCGGGACTAAATTTTGAATCCCGCTCCCGCCCGCACCCGCCAGGTTTTAGCCCGAACCCGACCGCTCCCGCTTATATTAAGAATTTATTGTCCCGCTGCCCGACCCGCCCCGTTTTCTGGCCGCCGCGCCCGATCCCGCTAAAGAGCGGGGGAGAATAAAACCGAAAATCCCCCGGCTATACAGTCCAGACAGCCAAGCTGTCTGTATAAACACACACACAAGCACCAAGCAGACACACAGGCGTTTGCTGTTATATCAACTCAAAGGCTTGTAATACCATGTATCAAGTACCAATGTAATACCAAAAGGTTTTATATAAAGGTATATAAATACTGAGTCGCGCCAGCTCCGCAGCGCACATTACTCTCGGGCCGATTCCGGCGCGGATGCGGCAGCGTCGGCTCGCTTACGGCTGCCGCATCTGGCCCGATTGATTCGGGCCGGAATCGGGCAGTGAGTCCACAAGCATGCGGAGTCCGGCAGCCGGAGCCGGGCTGAGTGGTAAGTTTCTGGCAGGCGAGAATCTAGCCGGAACTGGCCCGAGTGTATTTTGCTATCTGGAAATAAGCTCTCTCTCTCTCTCTCTCTCTCTCTCTTTCTCTCTCTCTCTCTCTCTCTCTCTCTCTCTCTCTCTCTCTCATTCGCATAGCAATATCCGCGAGACAGCCCGCTCCCGTCCCAAATTAAACCCGTTACCGACCACTCCCGCGATTTATTCGGAAATTTATTTGCAGACCTCTACTACCAAGGAACATCTATAAAAAATAAAAAAGCCTTTTTGAATTAAATTCAGAGGAACTGAAGGGCACTTGACTGCTAAAATCAGCATGCATGAGCGAAGTCATTCTCACAGGAGGCAAAGAGCTGTGTTACTGATGACTAAGAGCATTCAAGAGTAAAAGAGCCACTGGACTTGAAGATAAATGAGGACAAAAGTCCATTTATATGCCCAACTATTCTAATATTCATTTTAGTAAAGTATCTCAAATCTGTTTTTCAGTATTCTTTGTTTTCTTCACACTGCTATTGCTCTCAGCATGAAGCCTCTCACTGGAGTTTAGTCCATTAGATCAGACAGACACACATACGCTCACACACACACACATGCGCTCGGCTCCTTCTGTGAATTCTTGGGTTTGAATAGATCTCCATTAGGGGAAGTCCAGCATGCATGGCAAGGAAGAACAAACTTGAGTTACTGTGGGGCACTTGGAGTTGCTGCAGAAAGTCATGGCTGAGGGATGTGTGTGAGTGGAATTCCTCAGGGAGGGAGAAGAGGACCCTCCGAGGGGGAGGTTAATTAAAAAGCCTTTTATGAAACATTCTGACCCAGACCACTATTGCTGTACTCCGTTTTCTTCACTTTTTCTTTTTGCTTTCGTTTCAAGTTCTTCTCTTTGCATATTTTTTAGACAGCGCAAAGTTTTTTCTAGCACTAAAGTGAGCATAATATATATCCTGTCAAGGACAAAGGCAACACTTAAAATATTTGATTTGCCCACTAATACCTCTATTAGCCACCCACTAAGACATTACACACCACACAATGAAAACACACCCACATATCTCACTCCTATTATGTCTCGCCATTCTCTCATTGCAAAGTTAGACGCTATAAAGGAGAATTATAGCATAGCCGAAGCTGGGTTCCTCAAGGACAGTGCTTAGAATAGGCGAATTACATCTGTGATTTACTCAAATGTGCGTTGTGGGTGACGAACAACAAAAAGCCTCAATGCGGGAGCCTTTGTGAGAGGCCGTGTCATCGGTTTTCAGGGTGAATGATTCAGAGGTATGTACCGTTGTTCCTCGGTGAAGTCACAGTTTCTTCTATTTTTACAGCCAGTTTTGGTTTTGTTTTTTTCCTCCAAGCATACCTGTCACTGATCTTATGGTCTGTGTTTGTACTTTCAGAGCTGGAGGACCTGTTGATGTCCCTTAAGCAGGTGCAGCATAATTTGAATGACTCTCAAAGTCAAGAGGACGTGGAGCTGGTTCTACAGCTGGTCCAGAAGCCTGACTTCCAGAAAGCCTTCAGCATTCACAACTCTGTGGCCCACTATATGAACCGGCCCAGCCCCCCCTACCCCCTGACGGATCACGCACAGACCCTGGCTCAAGAGGTGAGTGACACTTTTTATTTACTTACATGGATTGAGAAGGGCCTTGCAGTTTAAAACATTTAGTATGAGCGGGAAATGTAAATGTTAAGCACAGAGATAAACAAATGCTCTGATACATATGGCATCACCTTTTTAAAAGAAACCAGACTTGAAAGGTGAAGGTTTATTTAAAATAAAAAAAAAAACAAAAGTCTTTTTACATAATACTAAATTATGTGCAAAGAGCAAACATGCAAATAGCCATCTTTGATCTGGTGAAGCTGTTTAAAAAACTGTTTGTGGATTATTTGATTTGGTTTAACCTAAAGAGCTTATGACAGAAATATACACTCACCGACCACGTTATTAGATTCACCTTACCAGTACAGGGTTGGACCCCCTTTTGCCTTCAGAACTGCCTTAATCATTTGTGGCATAGATTCAACAAGATACTGGAAATATTCCTCAGAGATTTTGGTCTATATTGACATGATAGCATCACACAGTTGCTGCAGATTTGTCGGCTGCACATCCATGATGCAAATCTCTTGTTCCACCACCTCACAAAAGTGCTCTATTGGATTGAGATCTGGTGACTTTGTAGGCCATTTGAGTACAGTGAACTCATTTTCATGTTCAAGAAACCAGGCTGAGATGATTTGCGCTTTATGACATGGCGTATTATCCTGCTGGAAGTAGCCATCAGAAGATGGGTACACTGGGGTCATTAAGGGATTGACATGGTCAGCAACAATACTCAGGTAGGCTGTTGCGTTGACACAATGCTCAATTGGGACTAATAGGCCCAAAGTATGTCAAGAAAATATCCCCCACACCATCACACCACCACTACCAGCCTGAACCATTCATACAAGGCAAGATGGATACATGTTTTCATTTTGTTGACCCAGATTCTGACCCTATCATCTGAATGTCACAGCAAAAATTGAGACTCCTCAGACCTGGCAACGTTTTTCAAATCTTCTATTGTCCAATTTTGGTGAGGCTGTGCAGGTTGTAGCCTCAGTTTCCGGTTCTTAGCTGACAGGAATGGCACCCGGTGTGGTCTTCTGCTGTTGTAGCCCATCTGCCTCAAGGTTAGACGTGTTGTGCGTTTACAAATGCTTGTCTGCATACCTCGGTTGTAACTAATAGTTATTTGAGTTACTGTTGCCTTTCTATCAGTTGGAACCTGTCTAGCCCTTCTCCCCTGACCTTTGGCATCAACAAGGCATTTGCACCCACATAACTGCCGCTCACTGGATATTTTCTCTTTTTCAGTCCATTCTCTGTAAACCCTAGAGATGGTTGTGCTTGAAAATCCCAGTAAATCAGCTGTTTCTGAAATACTCAGACCAGCCCATCTGGCACCAACAACCATGCCATGTTAAAAGTCACTTAAATTACCTTTCTTCCCCATTGTACCTAATAAAGTGGTAGGTGAGTGTATTACTTGCCCATTCTAGCATGTAATTTTAAGTTAGCCATGATATTATTATTATTTTAAAACAAGGCCATACAACTAAGATAATATGTTTTAATTTATACAGTTCTGTTGTGCATCATCTTAATCTGAAAAAACGCAAGTTTGTTGAAAATGAATTATTATACATTTTGAAAAAGTGATGTGTTTTATTCATTTAATTGCACAGAATATTTGATTGTGGATTTGTGTGAATTAAATAAATCAGAGAATAAAAAAGGACAATACAGAATTTAAGCAAAAGTGGATTTTATAGGGCCCTAACAAAGAAAGTTTATTTTGTGAAGTTTTATTATAAATTAAGATGTTTAAACTTTTTCTTCAGTTGTAACAAACACATGAGAAGCATTACTTTCTGCGTTAAAGTTGACTTATTACTTAATTTAAAAACAAAATTGTTTTAATAAATTTGTGAAAGGCAGCACGGTGGCGCAGTGGGTAGCGATCTCGCCTCACAGCAAGAAGGTCTCTGATTCGAGCCTCGGCTGGGTCAGTTGGTATTTCTGTGTGGAGTTTGCATGTTCTTTCCGTGTTGGTATGGGTTTCCTCCGGGTGCTCCAGTTTCTCCCACAAGTCCAAAGACATGTGCTATAGGTGAATTGGGTAAGCTAAATTGTCCGTAGTGTATGTGTGTGAATGAGGGTGTATGGGTGTTTCCCAGTGATGGGTTGCGGCTGAAAGGGCATCCGCTGTGTAAAACACATTCTGAAAAAGTTGGCGTTTCATTCCACTCTGGCGACCCCAGATTAATAAAGGGACTAAACCGAAAATGAATGAATGAAATTTGTGAAAATTATTATAGTGGCCATATTGCCCAATCTCATGTACACTACCTTTCAGGTGTTTTAGGGAATTTTTAGAAGATTATAATTATCTAATTTAAAAGTAATGCATTTAGTAGATCATTGATGTACAGGAACATTTAAAAAATGGAAAATGGTTATTTAGATTTTTTAAATAATTTTTCACTATTTTAACTGTATTTTTATGGATCTTTTTGTTTTGTTTAGCATGTCAATAATAATTCAACAATAAAGCAATTTGACCAAATCCAAATGCAAAATATTTGATGTGTGACAAGCAAAGTAACAATGGATATTTTTAAATCAATTTGAAGCATGCGTGAAGAGCTGCAAGACAGGATCTCTCTGTAGCTGTAATGTACCTGATTTGATGTTTGATGCTTACACTTGGTTACTAATTTTAGAAACACTTTCACAAAGTGAGAGAGAGGTGAAATGACACTTTGCCAAATGTGTTTGTCCTTAACTATTCTTTAGTTGATACTTAACTGAATCTGTAACACAGGAAATTTATAGCTTGGAAATGATTAACGTCAAAGCACAATTAGGACAAGAGGATTCAGAGCATTCTCAACAACAAAAGGACAATTAGCAGACTGGCAAACAGAGAAGCATCTGTCAATTAGCAACGGATTAATCAACCTGGAATTTTTTTTTTTTTTGCGTGGAAAAACACTGCAAATGTAATGTCAAATATTTTTGTAATTATATGATTATATGCCTTTACACACATTAAGCTACTACATTTCTGCATGTAGGTGCATGTTTGTTGTTGTTGATATTAACAAGTGGTTAGGAAAGTTGATGGAACATTAAGTGATTAGTTAACACACCCCACCCAAGCCTTTTTACTAAAAATAGAGTGATTATGCCACTCTCAGGCTCCTGTTTACCCGTCTGTTAAATATCATTAACCTGTCCGTAATCTGGGAAAAAACATGCACATTGACATTTCATAAAGTTATGTCATTATCATGTGATTAATAGCTAAGGGTTAGCGGCTGATTGGCTGAAGGCACCACACCTAAGTCTGTTTATATCCTAGTGGTTAGATTTGTTTGGTAAATCGGATCAAAAGTAGACAAGGCAGACACATTCCTGTTTGCTCCTGCTGTTTAATCCATCCGTTTTCTTCACTTGTAAACACGTTTCTGATGCCATTGATGGGAGGATCTGTGAGCAGGCATATGCATTTTTTCTTCCTTTTTTTCCCTCATTTCTGTGAATTACTTTGAGCTTTTCCTAGCTTTAGAATTTTATGTTTTTTTATATATCTTTTTTTTTTTTAAAACATCAACATATCAATTTAATTAAATTACATTTTCCCGCGTCATGTCTTTAAAAATATTAACATTTATTTTACTCCAGTATTTTAAATGGTGCTTCTGCGCTCAATATGGGAAGAAACACTAGCTGTGCATATAACCCAGTGCTCCCATTTTGTGTGTTAACTGATCCTTCTAAAATCAATAAATGTGCTGATTTGACATCTAAGACGCATTTGTTTTATAAGGGGAAATTTTTAATTTCTTATTCCTAGATGAAAATATTATTCTTTTATTCCTTGATGAATAGATTTTTTAAACAGTTATCCTTTGTGTTATTAATAAAAACGCTTTACTGCTTTGCTACGTTGTTAGATTCATTGCATGGCTCCTGAATAACGGCCAATCCACACAGGCTTAAGCATGGGACTCAGCGATTATTGAAAAGTAATCAAAATCGGCATTCAGAATCTATAATCCATCAAATTTTTTCAGGTCAATTTTTTTCAATTATTTTCTTTAAAAAAAAAAAGATTGTTGGTTTCAGGCAGTGTGTGTTTTAATTTCCAGTTTTAATAAATAATTAAAGATTATAGATAGTATTTGTTTCCTTTAATTATTTTAAAATCAAGTGATGCATCCTTCATTTGAAAATCTCTTACTTGTAACATGAGAGCATATTTACTGTGCCAAACTTGTCAGTGAACTATAAAGGCAAATGAAATAAATAAAATAATCGTTCATTAATCGTAATAGAGTTAAAGTGATTTTGATTTTAGGCCAAATCGCCCAGCACTACTGCCCAATGGCCTGGGGCCAGCATCAGAGATGCTCGGGCCAGTAACAATCCTGTCTACTGTCCCGAGCATCTCTGACGCTGGCCCCAGGCCATTAAGTGCTGGGCGATTTGGCCTAAAATCAAAATCACTTTAACTCGATTACGATTAATGAACGATTATTTTATTTATTTATTTTATTGCGCCAGTGCTGCCTTGTCACTAAAGTTTTATTTTTAATTAATGCAACTATTTGTCAATTGCGTGCAAATACAGTCTCAGAGTCGAGAAACAGTTTGTGCTTTTAAGCTTTTAAATTCAACCTTCTTTGTGATGTTGTAAACACCATATTACTTTACAGCGAAGAGACTGCAACATGGTGGCAACATCAAATTATGAGGCTAAAAGAAAACATTTGTTTTTAACTTCTTAAAAACAGATATTTACGTGGCTACAAAACAACGAAAAAAATGAAGCAATGTCTTGCACAGTTTGCCGTCAGTTTGGCAAGTCAGCCACCTTATTTTAAATAATTAAGATCTGCAATAAAATACCTGCACATTTTCCATACTGTTCTTTTTGTTTGCATAAGACTTTTGCTCATTATACATTTAATAACATTTAAAAAATATTTAAATTCTGCATTCACAGACGTTATTTTTGACACATTATTTAACATATAAGAAATAGCTATTAACTTTTTTTTTTGGTGGGGCCAGTGAAAATTTTGGCAGGGCTAGTAAAAATCTCAACCACTGCTCAGATTGGTAGGAAATCAATAAATCCATAGTGTTGAACCTTGAACTCCTGGTAAATCATTACATCCCTACTGGTATAAGAACATTGTTGTGTAAAATGTAAGTTAGGTTTGAGTTTAAATCCCTTCTGGTTAACATGCTTCAATGACACATGTCTTAATTTTAAGGAATATATCAGAAGGCAGTGGTTAGTTGGCCTTTTGTGGCTGTTTTTGAATGCATTTGATCACATGAGGGCTTACACTAGGAAAACTGTCCATTTAAATGCATGGTGAAAGGCTTAAAACATTGTTGTCCCTATTTATCAGTTGTCCGTTTGTGATTAGATTGCATCTTATGAGCAGTCATTTGAGCACTGGCTGAACAAGTATGTGCACAAATGAAGATGATGTTTGATGAAAAGGCTCTTTAGTTGGAGTCAGTGTTGTGTGAAGTGCTAATGAGAGCCTGATAAACTCATGGTTGTTGTTTTTAGTTCTCTCACACAGTGCAGGACAATACTAGACAGAGAGCCGCTCTGTCCTCAGCATTCATTAAGACCCAGATCCACTGACCTGTGCTCTGCTCTCACAGTAAAAGCCTCTCTCATGGGGCAGGTTAAAAACTATTCAAAATGCGGACACATCTTTTACATAGCTTGATGATCTTCTTAGAAATACTGTTTTTGTTCTCCAAAAATTTCCTGTATGTTCTCCATCAGATTGAACACGGTAGATTGTAATCACTTGTTGCCAACAAAACTTATTCCAAGTTCTCATTTGCTTTGGATTTGTACAGCTTTGTATCATGGGGTCAGAAGCCTATTTTCTACATTCATAACCTGAAAGTAAACATCTTTTCCTGTTTGGTGCAGTGCAGAAATCATATGGATCATTACCTATTCATTTAGCATTATAGGATTGTATGACAGTTGCATAATATATTATGTGTAGGTCTGCCATGATATCTATTTTTTGTTGTACGAAATATTGCACCAAAATAGATTGCGATGAATGATATTGACATTTTTAAAGACTATTTTATGCCACTCAGGGCTCGAAATTAACTTTTTTTATACTTTGTTACACCGGTGTTCCCAACTTTAAATATTTAGGAGTACCAGAAAAAGTTTAGGAGTGGTAGAGAAAATTATACACACGGTAGAGAAAAATCATTGAAAAAATTGACTTGGAAAATTTTGATCGATTATAGGTTCTAGATGTTGATTTTGATTACTTTTCGATAATCGCTCAGTCCCATGCTTAAGCCTGAGCAAGAGATTTCCAAATGAAGGATGCATCACTTGATTTTAAAATAATTACAGGAAACAAATACTATCTATAATCTTTAATTATTTATTACAACTGGAAATTAAAACACACACTGTCTGAAACCAACAATCTTTTTTTTCTTATAAACACACTTGCATTTGACCCTGTAAATCAGCCTTAACAGAGCGGTAGGGAAAATAATTGAAAAAAATTGACCTGAAAAAATTAGATGGATTACAGATTCTGAATGCAGATTTTGATTACTTTTCGATAATCGCTCAGTCCCATGCTTAAGCCTGTGTGGATTGGCCGTTATTCAGGAACTATGCAATAAATCTAACAATGTAGCAAAGCAGTAAAGCGTTTTTATTAATAACACAAAGGATAACTGTTTAAAAAATCTATTCATAAAGGAATAAAAGAATAATATACTCATCTAGGAATAAAAAATGAAAAGTTTCCCCTTTATAAAACAAATATTTCTTAGATGTCAAATCAGCACATTTATTGATTTTAAAAGGATCAGTTAACACACAAAATGAGAGTACTATGTTATATGCACAGCTAGTGTTTCTTCCCATATCGAGCGCAGAATAGCCATTTAAAATACTGGAGTAAAATAAATGTTCATATTTTTAAAGACATGACGCGGGAAAATGTAATTTAAAGCAGTGCGTTTTGTACATTCAGAGACCCACTTTATATTGTATACCAATTAGGCAGTGGAGATCATTGATTTTTAAAGAAAACAGATCTTAAACGCTCCAATATTGTAACTGCATACAGTTCACTGGAAGCGCTTGACCCAGGTTTCTACAAAATGAAAAGTCCTTCTGCATACTTCTGCATACCGTATTGCTACTGAAAAGGCTACGAAAGCGATAAAATTACAATTAATAATATATTATAACATAAACTGTAATTTTATTTTTTAATATTACTGGTTTTACTGTGTTTTTGATTACATAATTGCAGCCTTAATGGCTATAAGTGCTTAAAAAAATACTCACCTTAAACTTTTGAACAGCAGTGTATATATTGTACACATTTTGCCAGATGTGTTTAGGTCAATTAAGCATCTTTCGTATTTTGTCTGCATAGGTGGAGGTCATGGTGCAAAACAGCTCACACAAGGAAGGACTTGAGCTAAGCAGCCTGCTCTCAACGTCCCACATGCAGGTGTGTCTCCATCGCACGCACGCAAGCACGCACAAACACACACACGCACACACATCCCTCTATACTGCTGAAGCCCATAGCTAAGATCACAGTGCCTGTCCAAGGGCTCTTTGAACTCTATATCATGACATAAGGGTCAGACTCATGTCAGCTCTGCAAAGCACAGTGGCTTTAATCCTGAATGTAACCAATCATCTCTGGCTCTCTCCATGTCCTTCAGGCGCTCATGATGGCACATGACAGCGTGGCTGAACAAGAGATGCAGCTGGAGCCTCTTGTTCCTTCTGTCAATGCAAGCGAGACTCTCACCCAGTGGGGAGGAGAGACTGTCAAAATTGTACGGATTGAAAAAGCCAAGGACATCCCATTGGTAAGGAATTCTTTCAGTGCCGCTTCCCAGTTTATTGTGCCCTACTAGACTTCTGACCCATGTTTAATTGACTGTGCACATGCCTATTAATACAGGGAGCGACTGTTAGAAATGATATGGACAGTGTGGTCATCAGCCGGATTGTTAAAGGGGGGGCGGCAGAACGCAGCGGCCTGCTACACGAAGGAGACGAGATCCTGGAGATCAACGGTGTGGAAATCCGTGGCAAAGATGTCAACGAAGTCTTCGACATCCTGGTAAATATATATTTATTTTATTTTAATACAATTTTGGGTAACACTTTATTTTGATGGTCCGTATTGCACGTTTGTTGACTAAAAAGATGCATTGCAGCTACATCCCAATAACTTTTCATTTGAGTATTAGTAGACTGTCTGATTAATAGCTGTTGATACTGCTCCTACAACAGACATTTACCTGACTATAAGAAACTTTGCTAGTACATGTCCACGTACACTAACCCCAACCCCAAATTAACAATCTACTTATAATCTATTGAGAATTAGTTGCATGTAGGTGCAATGTAACTTAAATTCAACAAAATTTGTTAAAGGGACCATCAAAACAAAGTGATGTCCAATTTTGTTTAATAAAGGTGCAGCATGTAGGATTGAGTGGATTTGACTGAAACAACTAGTGGTTGAACTAAGTATTGTGGTCCAAATTCAAAATATTGCTGTTTTTTTTTTTTTTTTTTTTTTTTTTTACCAAGTTACACTTGCTCCAATGTGACGCGCATGCATGTTTCCATGCTGATCAAGAGCATGCCTGAAAGTCAAGCTGATCGACTGTTTACGTTTGTAATATTGCAATTGTTTGCAAAATAAAAAACACCTTATGTGGATTTTTATAACTCTGAATCTGAGTCTCATTTTGGAGGCTGCTACTGTCTAGGGATGCACTGATCCCAATACTTGGATCGGTTATTGGTTTAATAGAGCATATTTTTGATGAATCAGGTATCGGCCAACCTATCCAAGTCCGATCTTGTGCGTGCTCTATATTCTGTGTAATTTATAAGCCAACAAAAGCTATGAAGCTAGCCTATTATACAGGCCTAGAAAGTTGTCATGTAGGCCTACTATATCCCAAATATTCTGAAGCCATTCTATAGCGTAACAGAAGTCCAGGTGAATATTCAAGTGAATTCAAATTCATGTTCAGTTTAGTGCTTCCTGCAGCTGTGCCTATCAATCATTTTCCGTTCATTCACAATTCAAATTGATTGTCACGTTCATGACAACTTAAAAAACTTTCTCCAAGACAATTGGTTATAAGTAAACGGTGGAGAAATGCATTTAGTTTTGCATTAAATGGGTTCATTTTGAGATGTAACAAGGATTTCATTGCCGTTTCTAAATGATGTTGCGCTGTGTCTGTTAGATTAGCAGATCGCATTCGCAAAACTGGAGCAAAGAGGGTTATTGCCTGCTCTTTACACGCAAAGTAGGCCTACCTGAAAATTTAAATTAGAAAAGGCTCAATATTACACTGAACAGATCCTCAACACACTGACTTCTTCGCTTTGTACTGCTAAGATTTGAAGTGTCCCGCAAATACCGTAGGGCTGCATGCTGTGTCTCAGTGATGCATCAAGCACTTCATTCACGCACTGGCTACGCAGATGCGACGTGCACCTCTCTGTTAAATTATTCTGTATAATCAAAAGTTTCTGTTCTCTCATCTTTCCGGCTGAGTTTATTCTTCAGAGGGGAGACTATCAGTGCTTTGAATAGTTTGTAAAGCTTGGCTCATTGTGGTCTTTGTAGTTGATTAAATTAATAAAAAATAAAAACTGACGGACACAATATGGATAGTAAATAAAAGAAAATTATTTTGCCTAATTTAGGCTACTCTGAAACTGTGAATATTTTATTTTAATTTTAATTATGTTAATAGTTCATTTAACAGACCAGTTTTGATTTAGGGTCAATAGTGGTAGCCTACAGATTTCAAAGAAAAATCTTAATATTGAAAAAAAGAAACATAAGCTGGACCACAGCAGATCAATGTCATGACGAATGCTCGAATAATGTAGCCTAGGTCAGAGGTTTTTAAAGTGGGGGTCGGGACCCCCCGAGGGGTGGCGGGACAATGAAGGGGGGTCACCTGGTGAGTTTCAAAAATCAATTAATTTTTATTAAACCTTAAGACTTGTAATTTATCAATAACCTACTAAAGAGAACAAAATAGTCGTTTATAGTTACTATAAACTATATAGTTACTATAGTAGCTTATAGTTACTAGTTCTATTGGATTGCGACCTCAGAGAATATTGGGGGTCATGAGTCACTGGCATTGTCATTTTGGGGGTCGCGGGCTGAAAAGTTTGGGAACCCCTGGCCTAGTTCACAGCAAGCATCATGTTTTTTGTTAGATTGTGCCGTCTGTCATATACAGTAGGCCTATAGGTCTGTTTTTACTAAAGAAGATGTTATTTGAGTTTAGCACAAGAACTATAGAAACTGTATTATGCTTTAAAAAAAAGTCACGATATCGGGATCGGATCTGTATCGGTCAATACTTAGAATTGGGTTCCTAAAAAATGGTATCAGTGCATTCCTAGCACTGTCCTCTGGAGTTCGCATTTTCTGTTGCACCCGCATATATTGAGGCAGCATCCATGACTGAAATAAATATGCTGTTTTCCACCAAGGTAGCCCAGGGTGTCTGACACTGGGGCGGAATTACACAGAGCAAAACAAAATACAGATATTTTGATACGGAACATAACTTTACAACACAGAATAACTGACTTTAGCGTTGTTTTTCAGATAAACAAAAATGTTTAGCATGTTTGTGAAATATCTGCAAAAACACTGTATTTTTATGATTTTAGTCAAAAATGTACATTAATTTAAATATTACTTTAGTATCTGCATGTATTTTTAGGTCACTTATTGTATCCATTCTTACAAAATGAGTGTGTGTGTGTGTGTTCACAGGCGGACATGCATGGTGTACTGTCTTTTGTTCTCATCCCCAGCGCACAGATCAAATCTCCTCCTATTAAAGAGACTGTGGTGAGAACTTCAGTCAGAATTAAATTCATTACTGCTTTAATGAAACAAAGGTCAAATCAATATTTAAAATCATTTCCCTGTGTTCATCCAGGTACATGTGAAGGCACATTTTGACTATGACCCCTCAGATGACCCATATGTGCCATGCCGAGAGCTCGGCCTGTGCTTTCAGAAGGGGGATATACTCCACATAATCAGCCAAGACGACCCCAACTGGTGGCAGGCCTACAGAGATGGGGATGAAGACAACCAGCCTCTTGCTGGCCTCGTCCCTGGTACTATGTTTTTACATGCTGTTGTGCTGTTTTTTTTTTTTTTTTCTTTCATACTGTCACACTTAGATGTCTTTTACTTGTGTGATTGTCCAGGCAAAAGTTTTCAGCAGCAGAGGGAGGCAATGAAGCAAACCATAGAAGAGGATAAAGAGCCTGAAAAATCAGGTAAGTGTTGCAGAGCTTGTGCATACTTCTAAACACACACATGCACAGCTCTTTTTTTCTCATTAACACTCATTTTCTGTTTTAGGAAAGCTTTGGTGTGCTAAAAAGACCAAGAAGAAGCGGAAGAAGATGCAATACAATGCTAACAAAAATGATGGTGAGTGTCTTCAGGCAAACATTAGAGTAAACTACACACCTTTAAAACATTTTTACCAAATAATTCAGGGGTAACACACACTTTACCAAGCAGACCCTTAATATTAAAGTATTCATTTTAATGCACACACAGCTAAATGCATTGCATTTCAATAAATACTCCATTTAATGTTTATTAACATGCACACAGTTTCGGTCTTGTGCTTAATAGTCACATTTTCACATTGATTTTAGGGGAGGGTGATTTCATAGAGATGTCATATGTTTTTGTTTTGTTTTTGTCATGTACTTTTTGAAAAAAATATTCTCGTAAAATAACAAATGTTTGTTTTGTTGCTTTTACTATTTTGCAAGTCAATTAAAATTGAATTTAAATTAAATAGAATTATTCAAATAAAAAAGATTTCTACTCACTTAAGTTATTTTCAAGATTGTGGGTGACCCAAAAGTTGCTGGTCTCCACTGATTTCTGTAGTAACTGTTTGGCCTGCCACATTCTTTAATTTATCTTTTTTTAGTCTACAAGTCTTCTGTCACGTTAAGACCTGACACATCTAATTTAGAGCATCTGTTTTTCTCTTAAAGGGCCATGAAACCCCCCCTGTTTCAGCAGGGTGTTTTCACTCCTCTAGTTTGGAAAAAGTCAGGAAAATGGGTGTGTGTAGCTCTGTTTAGGTGGGATTGTTGGGGGAGGGAAAAGGTGAAGGATTTAAATAAAAAGGGGAGTTTCCATTTGGGCACGCGCTGATTTTCACCGCGGCAAAACAAACACACACGCAGGGGAGAAAGACAGAGACTGTTTAATGACGGTAGAATGTTTGATACCGTATGTCGTATAAGAGAAAAAAAACCTCTACATTTCTCTGTAACTCAGATGCACTCGTTAGGTCAGAAAGCCTTGTGTGTGTAGACTATTCTGTCACAAAATGCGGCGAAAATTAAACACGACGGTCTGCAATAGTTTGCTTGCAGTGTTCACATTTACACTCGGAGAGCAGCATTTAAAGCAGATCTTTCAGTCTATAATATTGTAGTGATATTAACGTAAACTAAGTAACTTAGAAATCATTTTGACGAAGGTCTGTCTTTAAACACTGAAAGAGTACTGCTGACGATACAAACTATAACTTTCCCATCTGAATAAACAAAGAAAGGGCACTGATCGCACACACTTATCAAATATGTAGAGACAGGACAATCAACACATACTAGAGCTGCTTCTTTTTTTAAAGGAGACGAGCAGCAAATCCGGATTAAAATGTTCCTTACAAATGTATTTCTGTCGAGTGCACTGATCCACACGTGAGTCCAGTTACGCTCTTATAGCTGGAAAATGAGAACAAAACTTTTGTTGCAGCAAATTGTTAAAGCAACACTGACTACCTGTATCTCCAAACAATTCATGTTCTTCTGCTTGGCACCACAACGTGGCATGTCTCTGGCGTCTGAACACTGTAACTGGTAAAAACTGGTGTTGGAAGCTATCATGCATATTAATGAAGTTGCCCAATAGAGCGCGCTGATTGGTTTAAACCAAGTCTTACTCATGCATTAATGCAGCACACTCAGAGAAGTAATAAGGAAGTCTACACGCTGGAATGCATGCTAAGATCCCATGGCCGTGACGCAGCTTCAAAAATTCGTTTCAAACCAGAAGTGCGAATTTGCTCGAAATGACGCAAAAACAACAAATTTTCACTTTTTAGTGAAATATATGTGTCCTATTAGTGTGGGACACATTTACTACTGTCAACAGCTCAAAAAATGTGTTTTGGTGTTTTGTGAACCTTTAACTAATTACTTAACTTTAGACTCAAAAACATGTGTCTTTATATGTGTTTATATGTACATTTAGTGTGATTTTTTTTTTTTTGGTAGTTTTAACTTGAATAGATGTAAAGGATAATCCTAGTCTGTAATATGGCACTGTTTGTCAGGCTTTGTAGTATGTTTATTCCCGCAAGACTTTAAAGCACATGAAGCTAACATACTTTTGTTCTTATGAATAAGTATCATGTATCAAGAGTGCAATTATGTGAATGTGTCTTGCATTGTACAGTAGGCCTATACTGAAACAGATGTGCCACTGTTGTTATATGCGCTGTAGTACGATACAATGATATTTCTTCCAAAGCAGATTTAGGGAGACATTAAAAAAACCACACCCTAATTCAGATGTAATTGATGATTGAAAGTGTCAATGTACTTGTTTACTCGAGAAATGCTTAATTCCTTGTAAGCACACATTGAAGCAATGTGTACCATTTTTTTTTTCAGCTTATGCTATTGTGTGTACAGTGCAAAAATAAATATACGAGCTAAATATATGCAGAGTTTGTACAGATTTGAAAAAATCTAGATTTGCAAAAGTTAGTCTGTATGATTTGTGTGCTGATGAAGAAATTGTAGCAGACTTGTACATACAAAATATTTCCTGTTCATCTACAGACTTTGATAATGAGGAGATTCTCACATATGAAGAAATGGCACTTTACCACCAACCAGCCAATCGTAAGCGGCCCATCGCACTAATCGGCCCACCGAACTGTGGGCAAAATGAGCTCAGACAAAGACTCCTCTCCACTGAGCCGGACAGGTTTGCTGGACCTGTTCCTCGTAAGTGTCAGAAAACCTTTTGTTTATCAGCTTGATCTATTCTGTAATATCCTAAACAGGAATCTCTCTTTGCTTCAGACACCACACGGAGTCGACGTGACGCTGAGGCGAACGGCCGTGACTACCACTTTGTGTCCCGCCAGGCCTTCGAGATGGACTCTGCAGCAGGGAAATTCATAGAGTCCGGAGAGTTTGAAAAGAACTTTTACGGCACCAGCACAGACTCTGTCCGACAAGTCATCAACACAGGCAAAATCTGCCTCCTGTGCGTACACACCCAGGTGAGAAACAGTGCTGCAATGCCTCGTGATCTTCAACAACATCCTAGCACAGCAGGTCTTCAGTCCTGCTCTTGGAGGGCTAATTTCCTGCAGATTATCTCCAGTGCATTTGAGCTTTTAATGATCTTGAAGACCTGTCCTGCACTCATAATGGATAGTAGTACCTACTGTAGGGTATTGGAAATGAAGTATGTTCTATTTCAGAGACTATGGTGAATAGGCTTTTAAATGACACTCTCAAACTAGTTTTGGTTAATGATCAGTAGAGTGGTATGAGACACCACAGTTTAAAATAAAAATAAGTTAAATATAAATTGCAAACTGGTAATTATTTTTGCCTATTATAATTAAATGCCATATTCAGCCTATTTTCTATGAGATATTTTAAATCATTACCAAAAAAACAAACAAAAACAAAACAGAAAAAGTTGGCCAACTTATATTTGTTTTTTGAGCCCATACCAATCCAACAGCGGGATAGCGCTCACAATAGCCAAAAATTAACAAATGTACAATTGTACATGTAGGTTTAAATACAAATACAAAAAAATAAAAAATAATACAAAAAATAAAAATAATCTATATTTATTATTTAAAAGGAACACGACTAGCGTGATTTTCATGTCAGATATTCAGGTATTTTACATTGTATTTATTAATTAATTATCTCGGCAAGCCAATTGACAGCTTACACTAGCGCTGTATCATCGTATCAGATTGTTGATTGTACATACAAAATCTCTCTATTATGTTCAGTGCTCCAGGTGTGAGCTCAGTTAAATATATTTTGATTGGTTATTAATAACTGTTGAGAAATTAGTATTTTTTATCTTCTGTTGTGTCTTGCTTGTGAAAGAAGCAGGACTTATATGTTGTGCTGCATCTCTGCCACCAGTAAAACTATTTATGTTGTCACTTTCCACTTTTCTCTCACTGAAAATGAATAGTCTGCGTCATCTCGTCTGAAAAGCCTTTAGGGGATTGTGTTTTTCTCACACACAAAAACCTTCTCCTGTCAGAAGTCTCAATAGCCTTCACGCACATCTTTCAAAATTAAAGTTGTGCATCACAACAACACTCCACGACCCACTCTAGACACTTCCGTGACCTACCAGTTGAGAAAAATATATGTTTACAGTGTAAATTAAGTGTTGACATCCTGCATTCATTAATTTTCTCTGTTATGTGACTTAAAATGCTGCATCGCTGCACTGTCAGTCAGTCGGTTTCCATGATCACTCTTCTCAACTGCTGATTTCTTAATGTTATGAATTTGGACATATTACTACTCATTACTAAGACTAGCTATTTCAGATATGCTTATTTAAGGTCCCTTGAAGTGCTTTGAAATGTGCAGTTTTTCTCAATGTTTGATGTAATCTCAACCGAAACATGGAGAGGGTGGGACATAATGTAGCTCCTCCCCTTTTTATTAAACAGATAATAGTGTTTGCTTTATCACTGCTCTTCCAGTCAAAGTGGTTGAGATCAAGTGCATTAAATGTGAAGCGTCCTGAAGGTGGCGGGGAATGTCAGATACTAGAGAGCATCTGATTGGGCATGATTTGATGAGAAACTTAAGTATGAGGTGACGTGAAAAAAAACATTGATCTATTTAGATGGAAGTGAGAAATAACAAGCCTTCTTCTAAATATAAATTTTGTCATTGTGCTGGAGCACACTAGCTTATAGATATTCTAAACACAAACAATACTGATACTTGCATCCAAAAAATTTTATATTAATTTCATGATACATTTAAGGACTAAGTTAAACTGATGATGGACCTTTAGAAGCAGGATTGGACTTTCCTTTCCTAGCATATTTGAGAGCAGATTTTTTTCTCTAGGTATTTTACTCACTATTTTCTTCTCTATTTTTAGTCTTTGAAGGTGTTGCGCAGCTCGGACCTCAAGCCCTACATCATCTTCATCGCTCCTCCATCCCAAGAGCGATTGAGAGCCCTCTTAGCTAAAGACAACAAAAACCCAAAGGTAAACATCAGCCATGACATATCAAGATTCCACCATGCTGACATTATCCAAATATAAACACCATTTTATATTTTTTTTATTCCATTATGTAATTTAATAAATACCCAATACATTTGCGGGGTGTGCTTCACACAGGTGAGTGGGCTTGAAAAACCACCTATGTAGAAACACTTTTTACTCTTCTCTCCCTAAAAAACAAACCACCATTTTTCTCTAGCACTTAATTCTCTGATATATACAGTTGAAGTCAGAATTATTAGCCCCCCTTTGAATTTTTTTTGTCTTTTTTTAAATATTTCCCAAATGATGTTTAACAGAGCAAGGAAATTTTACCAGTATGTCTGATAATATTTTTTTCTTTTAGAAAAAGTCTTATTTGTTTTTATTTTAGCTAGAATAAAAGCAGTTTTAATAAAAAAAAAAAACATTTTAAGGACAAAATTATCAGCCCCTTTAAGCTATATTTATTTTCGATAGTCTACAGAACAAACTATTGTTATACAATAACTTGCCTAATTACCCTAACCAGCCTAGTTAACCTAATTCCCCTAGTTAAGCCTTTAAATGTCACGTTAAGCTGTATAGAAGTGTCTTGAAATATATCTAGTAAAATATTATTTACTGTCATCATGGCAAAGATAAAATAAATCAGTTATTAGAAATAAGTTATTAAAACTATTATGTTTAGAAATGTGTTATAAATGTGAAACAAATCTTCTCTCCATTAAACAGAAATTGGGGAAAAAAATAAACGGGGATAATAATTCGGGGGTGGGGGGGTGTTATAATTCTAACTTCAACTGTATATATATAACAACTGAATGTTCTGTGTTTTGACAATATTGCAAGTTTACTATAAGCTGGCTGGAATTATTAGATAAATAAAACTTTTAAAATATCTTTAATATGAATATTTTATATTATAACTTCTTTTAATATACTTATTGCAATAAACAGTAGTTTTTAGGCCTATTTAGTAAAGAAGTAATGGTGTGCATTTTAACTCCTTATGCATCAAATGTACGCTCCTAACTTTTTTTTTTTTTTTTTGTTTAAATAATGTTGAATTCTTTCATCATTTGCAATGTTTCCATATTGCATTGTTTGTAATTTTTATTACCAATTTGTATATCTGTGGTATAATATTTTCTGTAAAGCTATTTCTGGCAATGACATGTCCACACTAAATGGTTTTAAGAGACGTGTTTAAGGGATTATATGCAACATTCTTTATTTATTCTAGTAGGTAAGGAGAAAGCTCCACTTAAGGATTATACAATAAGGGAAAATGTGCTTAATGCATTATAAAGCTTTAAGCATTAGAATCGGTACTCTGTATCGGCTGACCACCAAGACAAAGAATCTGTACTCTGTATCGGCTACAAAAATCCTGATTGGAACATCCCTACTATTGTCTCTTCTTGCTGAATTGTTGAATGCCTCCTTAATTGTCGATTTGGACTAAAGTGTCTGCCAAATGTAAATGTAAATTATACAAATGGTTGACTTATTTCTCTTTTACAAGTATTATTGGAAGGTCTAAAACTAAAAGATTTCTTAAATGAATCATCAAATCAAATATATAATAATCAAATATTTTTAGATAACTGTTATGTTTCTGTAACAAAGTAATAAGATTAAATAGTCAGCCAGAGTAGAATAACGATAAAGTTATGCAGGTTTTTTGTATGGACGAGGAGTGCTGGTTGGAAATAAAAAATAAAAATCTAATTATCAATTTAATAATTGCAGCATTAATCATAATTCAAATCACAATTTTAATGCACAAATAAATAGACATATTTAAATGTGTTTATTTAAATTGTGTTTTTAATGTTGTTTAATAAATCAATAAATCAATGCATTTAAAAATAACTTTTAAATGTATAAAGTAAATAGACAATCTCATACTGTAGATGTTTATATAATTCATGTTTTTAAACGCTGATTGATCAAACAATAAAAGCGTTTATTTATAGATTATTTAAGATGGATTTAAATGCAAAATTTAAATAGCTTTTTAAAATGGCATTTGACAAATGCTTTTCTCTCTCTATTTGCCACTTTCTTGTCTCTCTCTATTTGCTTTTCTTTTTGCTATATGCTTTTCTCAAGTTGAAAATAAATCAAGTTTAAAAATGCCATTGGACAGTCCACACGTGGGAGCAACCAAACAACTTTCACCCTCTCTCACATGTAAATGAAACATGCGTATTTTTGTGGCCAAGTGTGATATATTTTCTTTAGGAAAATAGTTTCTTATAGGATTTAACCTCCTTTTTCAGAAAACATTCACTTTTATTCATGTGGTTTCACACATTGACTGTATTCTCCAGCCCGAGGAGCTGCGAGACATTATCGAGAAGGCCCGAGAGATGGAGCAGAACTACGGCCACCTGTTTGATGCTGCCATTGTGAACACCGACCTGGACAAATCCTACCAGGAGCTGCTGCGTCTCATCAATAAACTAGACACTGAACCCCAGTGGGTCCCTTCATCCTGGCTGCGCTGAGATGGGTGAAAATGAAGAGCACGTTGTTTATCAATGCTTTAGAATGCCTCTGTTTTTCTTGTTTTCTTCTCCTCACTCATAGATAAGGACACTATACGCGCCCTCAAGCCCGCACAGAAGTGTCTGTCTGCACTACACTGTCGGCAGGCTGAGGGAATGAGAGTTTTAATGTCATAACTTGTGTTTTCGAGTCCGGTTATCCACATTCCAGTGAGAAAGTTACCAGCACTTGGTGCAGCAGTAGAATTAGGGCTTCTATACTGCTTTTGATAACTATTTATGATTGTAAATATTCTATATGTATTTTTAAAGATGGATTTGGACAAATGCAGAGGTGGGACAAGATAGCTGGAAGTCAGCATTTTTCAAGAGATCTATTCAGACTCCAGAACGGACATTCGTACACTCTGTTCTCTTCTCTTTCATCCTTAACCTCTACAATGTTACAAGAACATCCTGCGTCTGAACAACTCTTCCAGGACACTAAATGGGATGAAAGTGGAAGCGAGCGATGCCTTTTTGTCCCTTCAGTGTTATGGCGAAGCAGCACTGCGATTGTGACAGAGTTTAAATACGAATAAACTTCAGGTTTTCTTCCAGAGTTTGCGAGGCCACATCTGAACATAGCTGCAAAGTGGCTCAGTGTAAGTCTATGCTCTCTGTCTCAGTATTCACACACACTTCCAGCACTCAGAAGTGTAACCAGTATTGTAAACAGTATTCGACAGCAATACAGTGAGATTCACCATCTGAGGACAGCACAGCTAGTCTTAGTTTATATGCTTCTGCACAATATGAATTTATTTTTTCCTTTGTGATTTATAATTATTATTGTTTTTTTGATTGGATTTGAAGGTTCTGTTTTGCGTTTTTACCCATTTCAACATGAGCAAAGGGTTTATGTTTTTCCCTGTGGAAATGATCTGCTTTATTGGGGGCTCATGAAATATCAGATGAACATGTCTTGGTTGTATTTCACTCTAAATAGGAAATACTTTCTTTTTTTTTCCATGCAAAACTTGGACAAAAAACACATACAGACTCGATACAAATCAAGGTGTTTTTATTACTATTATTTACAGTCACGTTTGTTTTTTCTACCCAGGTATTGATAAAAGAATTTCTAAATCTACTTTTCAATACTGTAATAAGTAATAGAAATATATCTTTATACAGAAATGCATCATGTTTCTTTAGTTCATTCGTTCATTTGTTTGTTTGTTCTTTCTTTCTTTCTCTCTTTTTTCGTCTGTTTGTTCGTTCGTTCTCTTCGTTTGTTTGTTGCTTCATTCATTCTTTCTCTATCTTTTTTCTCTTTCTTTCTTTCTTTCTTTCTTTCTTTCTTTCTTTCTTTCTCCCTTTTTTCTACTGTTTGTTTGTTCGTTCTCTCTCTCTGTGCTTTCTTTCTATTTCCTTTTCTCTTTTTTCTCATTCATGTGTTCATTCTCGCTCTCTCGTTCATTTGTTCTCTCTCTAAAGTTAGTTTATTTTCTTTATTTTTTTTTCTCTTTTTATTTCTTTATTTCTGTCTTTTTCTCTTGTTATTTTGTTTGTTCTCACTCGTTCATTTGTTTGTTCTCTCTCTCACTCTCTCGTTAGTTAGTTTGTTTGTTCTCTTGCTTTTTCGTTTGTTCGTTAATTTTTCTTTCTTTCTCTTTCTGTCCTTCTCTTTCTTCTGATACAAATACAAACTTAATACAAATAGCGTGCTAGCATAAAACATTAAAACTTTAATAATACTTCAAACTAGAGATGAATTGGGTGATTTAATTAAATTTGCGCTCATTTGTATTTATTTCTTCAGGTATATCAAGCCAGGTTCAAAATAGTTTCATTTTTGACAGGGACATATTTTCTATGAGGGGTTAGTTTTATATTTGCACATTCATTCAGTGACAACTTATGACATGCTTCTTGTATTGTTTACCATGGTACTTTAAAGATTTGGCTTGAAATCACATCCAAGTTTGATTTCAAAACAACAGGCTGCTATTATGATTTCACTGTTTAGAAGTGATAAAGAATAATTGTCTGAAATAGTATTATTAAGGAGAAAGTCTGAACGTGCAAATATAAAATCCACCTCGCCTTAATGGGTATTTTGGGTTTGTATCAGTCAGTAATAAAGGAAATACCGCAAACAACCATAGAAAACTGTATTTTATTTTATATTTTACAATATTTGGTAGAAAAGTTTGAAAGCAAATGATATAGTATCAAATCCCTCTGGTAAATCTTAAAGAATACAGAAAAGAATAAAACTCATGTTTGTGTATGTAAGTTTCTTCTGATACACAAACAAAGGTGATTCACATGGACTAACATAAAAACAAAACTCAACCCCGGCAACAAAAAGGAAGAACATTTTTTTTAAAGATTTATTTTTTTAGCATTTTGCCTTTATGTTGGAAATGTGAGAGAGAAGGGGGTAGGATCGGTAAAGGTTTACAAGCCGGGATTCGAACTCGGGACACCCGGAGCGCTGCCGCACCATATGCCAGCACACTAACCACTGGGCTATCACACTGACAAGAAAAACATTTTTGCTTCTATTTACCTGAAGAATAAATCATAAGCAGGAACACTTTTAAACAATGAGCATTAGCCATAAATTTCTAAATTATCAAATATGTTAATGCAAAACATATCTTGTTTGGTTTGAAATGAAAAACTGAAAATGTAGTTGCACTACCTTCATTTGCGCTTGTAAAAATCAGATAAAATTCATATGCAATGTTTTATTGTATTAAAAGCACTGTTCAGTAAATATAATCAGTCCTAATCACTTTTAAGAACCTTTCCACTTTATTTTTGTGTAATATTTCCAAGACATGTTTCGTAGGACTCTCCTATTGATTTCCCTTGAATTTGGATGATCAAATATATGAAAAATCTGCTCCATGTTGAGATGAGATGTGCGAATGCTTGTGAGTGCATGGTTTTGGGCTACATTTGCCCCATTAGTGCAAATGCTGGAAGTATGAAACACTTGATATTAATGGACAGAAGCTCTGTGTGTATATGTGTGTTTTAAAGGAAGGACTGTCAGTGATTGCAGGCAAGTATTTTCTCCACAGCTGCTTCAAGCACACACTGGAAACAGCTTTATCGAGATTTGTTTTGCAGAACTGTTTTTACTTTTTTTGTTTTCTTTAAGATAATCAATGTGTATTTAGAAAGCAACCTGAATATTTTTTTAATGTACAGAAATAGCTCAGCCATTAGTTTTGACTCTTGTGCACTACAGTTTGGTTTGTTCTGAGTGTGGACGGAGCGACACCTCAGTCTAATGTTGATCTAGTTACACGCCAGGCGACTGGAAGTAGAAGTAATGAATGTAAAAGAAAAATCATCTTTCCTTCTCCACTTTTTTTTTTTTGTATGAATTATACAAGTGAATTAAAGCCCAGATTAATAGAGTTTGTCTCTTGTTTTTTTATGAATGTGATGATGGTTGCTTTATAATTCAAACAAAAGTAGTTAAACATTGTTGTGCAACACAGCTTGTTAATTTCTACAATGTGAAAAAATATATGTTAATATAAAGAGCAGTAATACAAACATTTTTAATGTTGTTAATGACAGCAACAATAATAGTCATAATATATTTTTACTAATATTGTTAATAATATTATGATCATTAATTTATTTATTAAGATAATTAACAAAAACCATTACAAGAGAATTACATTATTAGTATTCATAATAATTCCTATTTAAGAAATCTTAATAATAATTATTAACTTGGAACAGAAGGATTAAGTTATGACTATTATTAATAATTTATATATATATATATATTTTTTTTTTTTTTTTTGCAACAACAATTACAAACTTAAAAGCACGGAGGGATTAGAGTATTATTATTATTAAAATTATTTATTTATTTATTAGTATACATTAACAAAAACTATTACAAACATGAAACACAGAAGAATTACAGATTATTATCATTAATCATAATAATAATTATTAATTTATTAAGATATAATAGCCAACAATTACGGCAGTTCATTCCGCTGAGTCGACCCCAGATTAATAAAGAGACTAGGCCAAAAAAAAGATGAACAAATGAATTAAACAATTATAACTTAAAGCAGAAGGATAACAGTATTATCAATAATAATTTATTTATTAATCTATATTAACAACAATTACAAACTTAAAGCACGGAAGGATTACAGCATTATTACTATTATTATTAATATTATTGTTGATATTATATTATTATTAATCATTTACTTATTAATATACATTAACAAAAGCAACATGGAAGGATTACGGTATTATTGCTATAATTGTTATTAATAATTATTTATTAAGATATAATAACCAACAATTACAAACTTGAAACAGAAGGATTACAGTATTATTATTATTATTATTATTAATCATATTAATAACCATTTATTTATTAAGATTTAATAACAATAACAATTATACCCTTAAATCACAGGACGATTACAGTATTATTACTATTATCATTATAATAATTATTATTATTAATATTATTATTATAAATAATTCATTCATATATATTAACAACTACAATTACAAACCTAAAACGTGAAAGGTATTACTACAGTAATACAGTATTATAGCATTATTATTATTATTATTATTATTATTATTATTATTAATTCGTTTATCAATATAAATAAACAATAATTACAAACTTAAAACAGGATTAAATTATTAGTAATATTAATAACCCCTTCAGACCTGAATTATGTTCCAAATTTCAGAAAAAATGGGATGTTGTGTGATGTCCATTGTAATAGATGCAGGGTCTGAAGGGGTTAATATAGTAAGATGTAACAACAAGGATTACAAACTTAAAACACACTGAAGAATTACATTATTAATATTAATTAATCTATTAATATCAACAGTAATTACAAACTTAAAACATACAGAATGATTACATTAGTACTGGGAAACATCCATACACACTTCACCTTAACAACATGTCTTTGGACAGATCCAGCCAGATCCATGCCAATCACTAAGCCACCATGTCGCCTATTATTTATTTATTTATTTATTTATTTATTAAGGTATACAATTAACAACAACAAATACAAACTTTAAACGCACAGAAAGGTTACATTATTATTGTGATTACTATTATTATTAAGCATTATTCTGTTGTGGAATTTTTCAGGATATGTTGATTTGTAAATGTGGTATTCACCAGTTATATAACTCAGAAATATCATCTAGCTCTTTATTGTTAAAAACATCTGAGTGGCAAAAAGTTCACCAGAAATGAAATCCTTACACAAGTAAGGATACCGGCGTGTTGAATTAATCCACAGCCACTCCAGATTTGTGTTTTCATTTGCAGGTGCACTCCGAGTCACTAGATGGCGCAGGAAAGCATCTGAACCATAATCTCAACAAAGCACGAACAAAAAAAGACTTCCTTTTCCGGCTGATGTTCAACATGCTGAGGAAATAGACATCAGAGACAACGCCAAGTTTTCCCCGGTTACTTTTATTTTCCACAGATGCGCTTGTGGTTTTTAATTATCAAGTTAAGGACAATTGTTGAACGACAGTACTAGCACATTTGTCCTGCATATCGGTGAGTAAAAGAGGTGT